TTCCTTTCTCACACTTATAGTATTGTCAATCGAGGCCTTGATTGAGTTATAATGATTGTATTATTAATATAGTGTTATTATTTTATAGTATGGTAGAAGTTTGCTAATAAACAAAAAAGGGGGAAATGTGGGAACGTAAGAAAAAACTGCACGGAGCAGCAGCTGTGGAGCAAGATAAAGTGGCATGAGAACCAAGGACACCTTCAGAAGAAGAAAGAACATCTCACAGCTCTGATTGGCTAAGCAGACAAATGCCACTTCAAGGGTATTAGAGGAATTGTTGGTAGATACAGATTCAGTCAGGCATGCCATGCTGCAAAATCACGCCGCTATAGACTTTTTACTGCTGGCTCATGGGCACGGATGTGAGGACTTTGATGGAATGTGCTGCATGAACCTCACGGAACACTCGTCATCAATACACCAACAAATAGCTAAGCTACAGACCCTCACCAGCCATTTGCGGGAAGAAGAGGGTTTGGGGTTAGAGGACTGGCTCCGTGGGCTAGGTATTGGTCCCTGGTTTCGAGACATCATCCGATTCGTGCTTATGATACTGGGGGTGTTAATTGTGTTACTATTGGTGGTGCCATGTGTGTTCTCTTGTCTACAGCGCTTAATACACCGAGCAATTGATAAGGTAGTAGGAGCTAGCCTAGTTGTCCAAAAAGAAAACAGGAGAAGTGTGGAGAGCGTGATTGAGACCTGGCTGGCTGAGAAAGGCCACACAGACAGTATTCAGCTAGTGAGACGAGAGTCCTTGAGCAATGTAACAGGATGTAAACAAGGCTAACGAGGAGAGAGTCCTTGAACAAAGTAACAGGATGTGTAGGAAGATAGGAGAATGTAGAAATAAGAAAGATGAATGGCATGGTCTAATCACAAAAAGTACAAAGAAGGTCTGGGGCAACAAGTAGCTGAAGAGCCTATCAGGAGCTCGGGCTTTGCAATATGTATAAGCTTCATTAGCGCCAATATAAATGCACGCAACCTTCTGATTAAAGTTGAGACTCTCTGATCAATTCTGTGGTCGTGTGTTTGTCTCCCGCCGAGCTCCGACAGATAACTGGTCTGGCTATTAAAGGCAGATGTAAAGAAGGCATTGAGGACCTCAGCCTTCTCCTTGTCCTCAGTGGCCACATTCCGTGCTGCATCAAGTATAGGATGAAAATTATCCTTGGTTCTTCTTTTGCCATTGATATATTTATAAAAGGACTTTTTATTGTCTTTTACTGCAGTGGCCAATCCAAGTTCAAGTTGGGCTTTTGCCTTCCTAACTTTCTCCCTGCATACCTTAGCTACTTCCTTGTAATCTCCCCAAGTAGCCTGTCCTTTCTTCCATAGGACATAGACTCTCTTTTTCTTCCGGAGTCTCAACAGTAGTTCCCGGCTCATCCACACCGGTCATCTTCCCCTACGGCTCACCTTACGGCACTCAGGGACAGTCTGTTCTTGCACCTTTAAGATTTCCATTTTGAGGAGCGTCCAGGCTTCCTGGACCCCTTTACCCTTAAGGGGTGACTCCCAAGGGACCCACGCTACAAGCGTCCTGAACAGGTCAAAGTCCATCCTCTTGAAGTTCAAGATAGCAGTTTTGTTAGTCACCCTTCTGGCATCTCCAAGAATAGAGAATTCTACAAATTCATGGTCACTCTGCCCAAGACAGTCCCCAACCTTCACATCTCACATCTTGTCCTAAAATTCTCACTTTGAATAGGGAGTCCTGGAGAGCCTTTTAACAGCTGAAACATGAACTTATGAGGGCTCCTGCCTTAGGGTTGCCAGATACAGCAAAACCCTCCTGGTTGTTCTTTCATGAGAAGCAGGGACTAGCCTTGGGAGTCTTAGCCAAAAACTTGGGGTCCTACCAAAGGGCCATATTATATTTCTCCAAACAGCTGGATGAAGTAAGCAAAGGGTGGCCTGGCTGCCTGAGGGCAGTGGCTGCGCTAGTGCTTAATATTCAAGAAGCACATAAATTCACACTGGGCCAAAGAAATACAGTATTGATATCTCATACTGTCTCAGCTGTGTTGGAAGTGAAAGGAGGGTATTGGCTCTCACCACAGAGGTTCCTCAAGTATCAGGCTATCCTGGTGGAACAGGATGTTGTGGAAATTGTAGTGAGTAGCATTGTCAACCCAGCATCTTTCCTCAGTGGAATCTTGGGGGAACTGTTGTTGCATGATTGCCTGGATACCATCGAGGCAGTGTACTCCAGCTGACTGGACTTGAAGGAGGAACCACTGGAGGATGCTGAGGACTCCTGGTATACTGATGGTAGTAGAATTGTGTGACAGGGTGTACGCAAAGCTGGTTACTCAGTGATGTCTGCTAGCAGGGTAATAGAGTCAAAAGCTCTTACCCCAAACATGCCAGAGCAAAAGGCAGAAATTATAGCCTTGACCCGAGCATTAGAATTGACGAAAGGAGAAAGAATTAACATATGAACTGATTCAAAATGTGCTTTCAGTGTTGTACGTGCCCATGGAGCAATATGGAAAGAGAGAGGACTCTTATCAGCTCAAGGAAAGGGCATCAAGCATGCAAAGGAGATCCTTAAACTTTTGGAAGCGGTAAAACTACTGGAGAAAGTGGCCATCATGCATTGCAAGGCACACCAATGGGGAGAATCACTGAATCAGGTGGGCAATGCCTTGGCAGACAGGGAAGCAAAGAGGGCAGCAGAAGAGGGTCCAGTGGAAGTGCATCCTCTTATTCCAGATGGTAAAATTCAAATTGATGGTGAACCAAAATATTCCAGGGAGGACCAAAAGCTAATTGATGATTTAGAAGGACAAATAGGAGTAGGGGGGATGGACAATTACTCCCCAGGGTAAAATAACAGTCCCTTCAACTCTGTTGTGGGCTGTGGTGATGGCTGAGCACAGGAAAACCCACTGGGGAGTAGAATCCCTGTATAAATATTTAAATCAAAGGATCACAGCTCATAATTTATATACAGCTGTCACACAGGTAACTCAAAGATGTGAAATTTGTTTGCAAACCAATCCTAGGGTAGGTCCCAAAGTGCCTATGGGACAGATGCGGAAGGGAAATTATCTTGGGCAACAATGGCAAATTGATTTCTCAGAACTCCCAAGAAAAGGGGGGTACAGGTATATGTTGGTATTAACAGATACCTTTTCAGGTTGGCCAGAGGCTTTCCCTTGCAGGACCAACAAGGCGCAGAAAGTAACTGAAGTATTGTTACAAGAAATAATCCCAAGGTTTGGGGTCCCAGCAACTATTTCTTCTGATCAGGGGCCCACTTTGTGGCTAAAATAGTGTTGCAAATAAGCCAACTATTGGGAATTGACTGGCAGCTACATACCACCTATTGGCCATAATCAAGTGGCCAGGTAGAGAAAATGAATCGTCTGATCAAAGTGCAAATTGTTAAATTAGGGCAAGAGGCTGGGATGATCTGCCCCAAGCTTTACCATTTGCTCTCTTGAGAATAAGAACCAAACCTCGAGTGAAGGAAGGATTAAGCCTGTTCGAAAAGTTATATGGTCGACTGTATATGATTCAGAAATGTTACCTCCAACTGTGGCAAGTGAGTCACAGACTCTGTTGCAGGTGCAGAATGAAGACTTTTATTGTAGGTGCTCACAACCTTTTATACCCCTGTAACAACCCCTTGGTCACATATACTAGCCAGGCGCCTAGTGCGTGTTTACATCTGGCACAAGTAGCTTCCAAGCTTGTTTACTCATTTGCAAGGTCTTTTGTTCATAATGTCTTTCTTTGTCCCATATCTCCCCCTTCTTTATTAGTTTGAACAACAAACACTTGGTCGATTGCTTTATTAATATACAGAATATATGCCAACAAACATGCAAAAACCAAAAAGCACATTAATACCACCCATCAAACCAATCCCACAAGTTTTCAACACTTAGCTTTTGCCCCACAAATCAAAATTTTTCTGAGGTAGTCGTTGCATTGCTTGACACTGAGAGATTGGCTGAAGTATCCACAGTCCATCTGCCATTGTAGGCTTCAGCTGGGAGAATACCCAGAAGGTTGTTATGGATCTGAAGAAACAGCAATAGATGCTGATGGTACAGTCAGGTAGGGCTTTATGACTCTGTCTGGAATGCATCGTGGGCCAGCACCTGCAGAACCATGAGCATAACCTCTTCCCTATTTTTTTTTTTTATAGGGAAATCTATTATTAGTATTTTTTAAATCACTGAAATGACACATCCAGAATTGGAATTATGAAAGTCATGCAATTGTGATTTTTGTTATCAGTATTCCACATCATAACATCTTGTAAAGCATGGGAAATTAAAGAGTTAATACTCCAGTTCCATGGACTGACAACTTTCTGGATACCTGGTTCTCAGAAGAGAAGAACAACTACACACCCCAGAGGACTTTGCATTCAGAGGGGAAGATAAGACCCGCAAGTCACAGGACTCGCTCTCTCTCTCATTGCCTGGCAGCATGTGGGTGTGCTCCCCAGCCATTTTACCCTCAGCTCAGAGCAAGGCCTTAGGTTTCGGACACTCTCTCTCTCTCTCTCATTTTATTTGATTAATTAGCCTCAATTTCTATTATATTGTATTATATTGTGTTATCTTACATTCCAATATCAAAGTTAGTAAAATTAAGTTTCCTCCTCAGAACGTTACCACTGTTCTGCCTTGGGCCCAGCTCAAAATAATACAATCTGATTGCGATTGACACTAGTAAATCAAATAAAATAGGTGAGAGAGAGAGTTCCCGAGACCGAGTCGAACCTGAAAAGCTTGGAACGGCTAGGAAAGCCCCCTCCAGCACCCACTGCAAGGCAGTAAAAGAGACCGCCCCACCCGGAAGGGCCAAATCCCATGACTTCCATAATGTATAGGGATAGGTACCCAGAATTGGAGCATTAACACTTTAACTCCCAGTGCACTACATGATGTTTTGATGTGGAATACTGAAAACCAAAAAACAAAACTGTGACAAGTAGTCATTCTTCCTTGTACTAAGATAAGTGGGTTTTAAGATTTTTTTTCTTTGTCTATCTGTCTGTGGGTGATTTTGATTGGATAAAGAGCCTGCACGGTGAATAAAATTACCAGCCTTACTATATGGCTACTTGCCCTGTGATTGCAGGATGTGTAAAGAATAACAATACAAAGAGACCTCTAATTCAGCATGAAATGAAAAACATTTTAACATCAATGTTTATCTTAACTAAGTCACAAATCAGACTATACTTTGGTGTTTTTTTGTTGTTTCTTTTTTTCAGAATAATATAATCGGAAGTCCTTCTATATTTGAGGAAGAACAAATTGTTGGTTGGATGGTGGATTCATAAGTAGTTGTCATATTACAAGAGTAAGAAGATATTTTGGTATTTGTGAAGAACTGGATTTTCACCCTAGTCTAGCAGCTTTGCTGCTCACTTAAACACAGATGAATGAAGACCCCATTTGGAAAATCACCAGCTCAACGAACCAGAGCTGATGCAGGTGAGGTGTTATTGAATTTGCTTTTGTTGTTTGTTTGTTGACTGGTTTTTAGTGGGTAAAAAAATGTTCTTAGTACATAAGAGAATCTATAAAAATATTTGCTTTATGAAGCTGTTATTGTTTCTTTGTTGTTGTTGTTTTGTTTATTTGTTTTTAAGGATGAGAATTATGCTTTCATAGAATCTGTGGAATTGAAAGGCTATACATAAACGTTAATTAAGCTGTACGGACTTAGATATAAGAAACTGTACTGGTTTTGGCTGGGATAGAGTTAATTTTCTTCATAGTGGCTCATATGGTGCTTAAACCAGTGTTTAAGCTATTGATGCTGCATCAGCATAGTTAAGCAAGGTCTTTTCGCTTCTCACACTTCCCTGACAGTGAGGAAGCTGGAGGTGAGCAAGAAGTTGGGAAGGGACGCAGCCAGGACAGTTGATCCAAACTAACCGAATGAATATTCCATACAAATACATATTGTGTCATGCTCAGCAATAAAAGTTAGGGAAAAGAAGGAAGAAGATGACATTTGTAGTTACAGCATTTGTCTTTCCAAGTAACCATTACACATGATGAAGCCCTGCATTCCTGGAAATGGCTAAACATCTGCCTGCCAATGGGAAGTAGTGAATTAATTCGTTGTTTTTCTTTGCTTGAACGTGCAGCTTTTACTGTTTTCTCACTTTTTATTTACCTTTCTGAATTTCTCCCCCACTCCACTTCACGAAGGGGAGGGAAATGAGCGTGCAGCTATGTGGCATGGAGCTGCCTACCGGGGTTAATCCATGACAGAAATGCGTGTTACTAGTCTATACTGTCAAAGTTTTAGCAGAACTGTAATTTAATTAAAATTCTGAAAAGGAGCCTGTAATATAACTAATATTTTGCTCATCCCAGAAGTGTTGGAAAATAAAAAGCAATATGTTCACCACTGGAATCCAATAACAAGTTGAATTCCCCAGAGGTCAATACCGGGTGCAGTCCTGTTCAACATCCTCATTAATGATCTGGGGGTAGAATATACCCTCAGCAAGTTTGCTGATGACAGAGAACTGACGTGAGGTGGTTGATTAGTCAGAAGTGCATGCTGCCTTCCAGAGCGACCTTGACAGGCTGGCGAAATGGGCCGCCAGGAACCTCATGCAGTTCAACGAGGGGAAGTGCAAAGTCCTGCACCTGGGGAGGAGCAACCCCAAGCACCAGTACCAGCACCCAAGCAACAAGCTGGGGGGGACTGAAAAGCAGCCTGGCCGAAAAGGACCCGGGGTCCCAGTGGACACTAAGTTGAACATGGGCCAGCAAGGTGCCATTTCCGCAAAGAAGGCTAACTAAGTAGCCTGGGCTGCATTAGGCAAAGTTTTGCCAGCAGGTTGAAGGAGGTGATCCTTCCCCTCTGTTCACCTCTGGTGAGGCCCCACCTGGAGTATTATGCCCAGTTCTGGTCTCCTCGGTACAAGAGAGACATGGACATTTTGGAGGGAGTCCAGGGAAGGGCCACAAGGATGATTAAGGGACTGGAGCATCTCTGAGGAAAGGCTGAGAGAGCTGTACCAGTTCAGTCTGGAGAAGAGAAAGCATAGAGGGGACTTAATCAATGTGTATAAATACCCAAAGGCAGGATGCAAAGCGGACAGAGCCATCAGAAAATTTCTGCTCCAATGAGCTTGCTCAATCATCTTTATCCCCAAAAGAGACAGAGGAGGAGAGTCTTCAGCTTTCCTTATTTGAATAAAGGGAGAGTCCACCGGGGCATACCCCTGTGGGGTCTCTCAAAGTACTGGGGGACACAGCCCCTCTTTTATCCCTGTACCTCGATGCTAGTGAGCCCTTTCCCCATTGGCTGAGGTACTCGGGGTTCATATTCTTCTCGATTCGCCTATCAACCATCCCCCCCAGTAGGTAACCCCCTTTGTTTCCCTTTTTTTTATACATACATTGTAATCTGTCTTCAGAGTTTGTCTTGCCCAACTAGAACCATCTTTGTATCCTGTAAAGTCTATCATTCTTCGTTCTTTCCAGCAAACAAGATTTACATGCAGGTGCTAAGCTAGCATCTCCTGCCATATACCTGCAAGATAAGTTTGTTCAACCAGATCCTTGTGACTGAAACTCTTCTTCTCAGCTTTTTCTTTATCTCGTTTTGCAGGGACCCCCTATCCTTCCTTTGTTCTTCCCAAATTTCAGCTTATTTTGCAAGGACACTTTACCCTTGTTTTTCCTTCAGTAAAGAATTCAGAATACTATTTTTTAATGTAAATTTAAGTAGAATTTCCTTTCTATGAAAGTCTTAAGCAAGTGTTGAATTAGTGGAAGTTACTGCTACAGTTTATAGAAAATGTTTGAATTGCTGAATCGGCTTTTTACTTCAGTACTCTTGTTCCCTTTGGTTCAGAGACCACAGTGAAATGCTGCTTTAAGTTTCAGTAAATGCCTTCTGACTTTAAAAGGGTTAAGAAGTCTTTTTTTTCCTTTTAAGAAGTATGAATTTGTTGTAGTAGTAGTGACTGCGGACAGATCATTCCAATAAAATGCTAACTATCTGGTAGAAAGCCCAAACTTGTGTGCTCTTTTATGTTTATTTTTAAATATAGAAACTTAGCAACAAATAAAACTAAAATGTCTATACAATGATTTAAATTTTCAGTTTGCTATTGTGACTGACCAATAAACCCCTAAAATGGAAAAAGGCTCAGAGAAGATGGGCAAGGGCAACATGCCCATGGGAATAATAATTAGGGAATAATGCAGGGTGTGACTGACCACAGCTGTTGCAAAGAAAGCTGATTTTATCTCAACACAAAGGGGACTGGATGGAGGATGACCTCTGTTTTAGATAAACAGCTAATGTCAGTTGAGTGGATCAACTGGTAATGTAAACGTTTCTCCCTGAATTCATTAAAAGAATGTGAACGACTCCTGAGTTAACCAGACTAGCACGAGGGGAGTGAATATATGGCTCAACCCAACATAAAGTATAAAAGAATGAAGGGGAGGGTAGGGAGATGGGAGCTGGCCCCAAAAAAAGAACAGCAACAACGATCTAAGGAAGAAAACTTAATTTTACTAAATACGATATCGGAATGCAAAATAACACTATATAATACAATATAATTGAAATTGAGGCTAAAAAATCAAATAAAATGACAGGGAGAGAGTGATTGAAACAAAAAGGCCTACTTGAACTAAAGGCGCACCCACAGACTGCCAGGCAGCGAGTGAGAGAGTGCCAGAAAGCAAAATCCCATGACTTCCTCCCATGGCTTATCTTCCTCTCTGAACGTGAAGTCCCCTGGGATATGTCGTTGTTCTTCTCTTCTGAGAACCAGGTATACGGAAAGCTGTCAGTCCACACAACTGGAGCATTAACTCTTTAATTACCCATGCTTTACATGAGGTTATGATGTGGAATATCGATAAAAAAATTATAAAACCATGACATTCCACCCCTTATAGTACATCATGCTTAATATATATACATATATACAAAAAACCAATAACTAAAATGCATTACATACACGTCTATATACATATATATACATAGAATTACTGACTGCACTCCCCTAACACGAAAGAATTGGCAAAGTGTTAGTAAATGCTATTTTCAGCACACCACAGGGCATATTCTTGTATGTTCATTCCTTCAGCAAGGCAAGAACATAAGGTACACCTTTTCCCACAGCTGGGTCAATAGTTATGGAAGTTCCTCTATTCTTGACCCTTTTGTCAAAATCAACAGCACATTCCAAAGCTGCTGTTGGTAAGAAAAGGGAGAAGCCTCCACTGATTGACAAATTACAGAGAACATGATTACAACAATCAATTTTTCTTAAGGAAATCAGGCTAAAAGGATGAGCTGACCTAGGCTGATGTCTTAGCCATGTGCAGCATTGTGATGCCAAGAAAACCGACAGTAACTTGACACGCCAACGAGTTATGTCAAGCAGGTATTCCCTTTATTACAGCACCGGGTGCATGGGGATCGCTCCACCAAACATGCACACCAAAGAGAGAAACAACTACATATTTAAAGGCATAGCATATACATATTCATTACATTCCAAGAAAACAGGACGAAATTCTAAGAAATAATTAACATATTGTCCCACCCTCCTGAGAATACATGGTGGGGGTCTCTGGCGGTTGTGGGATGTGGGCTAGTAATCATTCTCACTGTGAATTTCCAACCTTTTAAGAAGGGGTTGGGGGATAGGCTTAACCAGCTCTCACTGGTGTTGCATTGAACTGAGGCATCTGTTTTGCTGTCTTATCTTCAACAGGACATCTATTCTACTTTCCTATCTTCTCTCGACATGTTCTGCGGCCTCCTCTGCACTCTGTTCTTGAGCTTACATTTACACAAGCCTCCTGTCCTTCAGCTTATATCTGCTCAAGTTATGCTAAAGGTTGTTCTCACAATATTGAAGAGCTGCTCTCATGATTCAATTGAAATTAATGGATTAATTAGGAGAAATGTTTGCAGTCCAGAAATATTAGTATAAAATAGTAGGCGATAACAAATATCTGTAACTTCAACCTTGGAAAAGACTTTAAAATGTTGTCCCCACAAATCTCTCTAATATAGAAAAATGTGGTGATTAAACAATTCAGATTCTTGAAACTGCGTTGCAAATCACCAATGATTTTTTGCAGATCTTCCTTTAAGCTAATGTATTTAATTAACGGTTTGAGTGTTGCAGTGGAATCCGTGGGTTTTCTACCTTTTAAGCACTGGGATCTTTTTCTACTTTAAAAAAAAAACAACCAACCAACAAACAAAACTGAATCTGCAAAAGAAGTAATTCTGTTATGTGGGTGTGAAGTGTTTTGTTCCTAACAAATGGAAGCAGTTGGCCTCTGCTTTACCTCTGCTGAAAGTAATGCAGTTTCTTCTACTTTCAGGCGGGGTTCTTAAAATAGTAGTGTCACGGAGTTAACTAGATCAATCTATGCCCGTGACATTCCACCCCTTATTCTACATCACGCTTAAAATATATATATACATA